GACTGGCAAACGATAGTGAAGTGCGCCTGGTGGTGCTGCTGATGGCGACCCCGCTGCACATTGACGGTCTGCTGGAACATTTGGATGCTGCGCTCCACGGCGCCTAGCTCCTTTTTTAGTACGTCAGTCAACGTCGCGATCTGCGCGCTGGGGTCGTCACCGATGATGGACTTCTTGCCTACGAGCTCCAGCAGCTCACGCAGACACAGCTCCTGCTGTCGTAGCTGGTCCGAGATCTGCTGCGCAAGACGCGCATCGCGGGATAGCGGACGGTGAGTCTGCGGTTTTGTCTGGCCAGTCTCAAAGAGCACCGTGATGCCCACGAAGTCGCTGGTGCGGTCCATTACGTGTACCTTTCGGGAGATGCAATTTCGTACCTAAGATAAATAACGTGCTGACTTGAATACTACAATTCCAGTTGAGAATCAGAACGCTTTAGGACAGAGATGGAGGAGGCGACGTTGCGTGCTAAAATTCAGGCTATGAAGAACCTACTGGAGGCCAAGAAACATACATCAGGTGGCGCAGCGCCCATAGCTACAAGCTACAGCTTCTCACGACCCAATTCCAGTCATTATCAGCCGAGAAAATACGGTGCGTCTGGACCAGTGAATCGCTCGTGGAATCGCCATTCGCCGCCTGCTGCCGTGAATCGGAGTCACGTTGGGAGCGGGAGTGCCAATAAGGTTTGGAAGCGAGAAGACACGCCTGTTTCGACGTCGTCGCCTGCGCTGGTGACGAAGCTTCGGAAGAGACCGGTTAGTGGTCTGTTTGCGAGGCAGAGAGTGATTGTCGTTTACCTGAGTGGTGCTGTTGACTGCAGATGAAGGTGACGAGCAACAAACGCAAAAGTATGCAGCTACAGGTGCTACGACTGGAAGACGGAGAATACGCAAAGGCGAACGGGGGCTTCAGTCTCGTCCGGGCTGGAGTGAAGACGCCTACTCCTGCGACCACCGTTGCGAGTGCGAAGCCTACATCGGTAATCCGCTCGAACAGTAGTAGGTTAAGTGTTATGTGTATCAGTGTACCGTGTTGCTTGATCTCAGCTGGTTTGATTGTGCTAGATTCTCTTCATATTGACGGGATAAGGGCCGTCGTCGCGAACGGAGGGAAGCTGTTGAAGCGATGCCCTACGGAAGAACGCAACTTGAATGCTGTTCACAGACGCGGTTTGATGAGCTTAACCACCAAGAGCGGGGCTGCTTGCGCTGCGTGAGTGCTTAACGTGGTACGCATCATATTGCGGTATATTTGTGCTGATCAATGTCACCATTTCCTGCACCCCAGCATCACCCGAGCTAAAGCCACTATGCGACGTGCTCGAAACAAACGCTTCGAGACGAAAAAGCCAGTCAAAGTTCGCACGGAGTACTGCTCCTTTTACAACAGATTCGGCAAGTGTGTGCCTGCTTGTTTTTATGAATGCTGCAGCTAATTTGTGCGCTTAATCTACTGAATGAATGTTAGGTTACTGCAAGAACAAAGAGGAATGCAGGTTTATTCACGACAGTCGACGGGTGTCGATGTGTCGGAAGTTTCTGAAAAATGAGTGCGACGACCCCAACTGCTTGCTGTCACACCAACATGACGAGGTGGAGATACGAATTGGCTTTTGCTACGCTGACTCTCGCTCATACTGTGGTTTCGGCACGGCTTGACGAGAGGCTTGCGGCTACTGTGTTTCTAACTATTGATTGTGTACGTAACTTGTTGTCGTGTATCTTTT